GAGAGTAAAGGCACTTTAGTACTTTTTCTGATGGAAGACACATTCCTTAAGCAGCTTTTTCAGACGACACGCATCATCCTTGAATCCCTCGCTTTCTTTTACACTCTAACCACACAATACCTTACTTACCAATTAATTCTCCTTGTCTTTTCCACTTGGTCCCATTAAAAAGTTTTAAATCCTTTCCTATTATGTGCTTCATCCTACTTTAAAAGGTGGGTGGAATGATTTGTTTGGATTATTGTATTTCCCCAGAGCAAACCCAAGTCCAGTTAGCTGAATAGCATATAATCTTAGAAGGGTGCCTTCAGGTGCTTCTCTAATGTAAATAAATTAATGAACTAATTCACGCAGCAGCAGTACTTGTTTTCAGAAGTCTATTTAGGCTATGAGCAAGACAATGGGCAGAGGGAAAAGCAAGACAGCCAAACAACGTGGCTGTTCAAGAACACGCCATCAGTTTTCAGCAAAGCTGAAACCAGAACCCTGTCCAGATTTCATCCGATTCCCGACCTTGTACGTACTTACACGTGAACAAACTCGTTTCTTTCACTGCACATAATTCAAACCCTGGATGAGTTTGTATCGACCACTTTCAAAAAACAAAGATTCAATCACTGAGCAATTCATCTCCATCCATTTAAAAAACTATCTTCCCTCTCTCCACTGAGATCCTTGTCAAAGGCCATACAACTCTCAAGATCCACTACTTACAAAAAAGCAAATAATCATCTAATGAGGGTTTGTGGGTTTTTTGCCTTTAATGTGCAAAGGGTTGTAAAAGAATAATCCTTCAGTATTTTTCCAGGGTACAGTGTAACTTTTGCACAGCATGATAGACCTTTGGCACCTCAGTATGTATCATGAATAATTAAAGCAGCACATGCCAGGGTAAGAGCTAGTCTGTGCTCAGACACAACTGGTTCACATCTCTACAGCAAAACTGCAGATTACGGACCAACAGAAACCATGACCCTCAGATATTTGACACAGATGCATCCTGCTGTAAGCATCTGAATGTAGCTGTGCTACAAATATTTACCTTAATCTCAGTCAATTCCGTAAATTAATCTACGGAAAACTGCAACTATCCTGTAGCCAAACCAGAATAACTTCGAAAAACCACCTCGGTCTACAATCCGCTCTGCAATGGAAAAAAAACATTTATTTTTAAACTGAGCTAAGTGT